ACAGGGGACAGAGCCCACAACCCAGGCATGCGCCCTGACCTCCTGGTTCACATAGGTCAATATTCAACCACTGAGTGAGCAACACCAGCCAGGCTGAACAACTTTTTAAAAGAGTAACTTCTAATAAGATTAGTATAAATTTGAGACACATAACTGTATTTTTAACTGTTTGTTTCAAGCATGCTAGCTCGAGGAAACAATGAGCAGTATATCTTAGATGGAAAGAAAACAACCAGTATGTAACAGAGAAAGTGCCTACATAATAAGAGGTTAGTTTGAATGAGTTTAACATGTTATGCTTTTGGTTCAATGTTCTCTGAGAGAATCAATGTGTTTTCCAAGCTTCACTTTCCTCTGAGTAAACTATGAAAAATAACTGCCTAGTCACTACAAAGGAAAGCTGTAAAGAACTCAGGATATTTTAAATTTCTTAAACACACACACACACACACACACACACACACACGCCCTGGTTAATTGCATCTTTTAATTTCCCTAAAGTCTATCCTAATTATAAGAAATCTACAGACAAAATCCTGTTTTGTGCAATAAATGTTTCTGAAGAGTTTGGCTGAAAAGGGTATTTTCAAACTGGATCCTGTCAAACACATTAAGATGTCTTATTATTAAAAAACCACTTCCAAGTAAACTAACATTGATTGTTATTAAGAAAAATCTCTTTCCACTGTATACAAACTCCTAGATTTTTGGAGGAATGCTCCCTTTGAAACAGAGCTTGCCATAGCCACCTGCATGCACACAACTTCCTTTGTCCTGTGCCTTATTTACCAGCCATCATCAGCCCCGATTCCTGTCCTCAGGTTCACCTCTACTGTCTGAGACTTGATGTCTCCTGCTGTTCCCCTGGTTTATAAGTCAGCCCACTCTAGGACAGTTGCTTGGGCCTTGATCATCCACTTCAATCATGACCAGAACACCTCTCCCTCTTTTTGGCTTTGCTGTTTCTCTGTTGGACACGACTATTTAAAGAGATTCTGTCCTCTCAGGTGTTCTGAGCTGACTCTTCAGTCCACTTGTCTTCCCTGTCCCCTATTCCTTTACCACCTTGGCTCAATTTATTTGTTTTTTAAGCCTGGATTTTTATGTATTTCATTTTTTTCAAAGTTGAAATCACTTCAACTTATTGATTAGGGGTCTTCAGCTATTTGTAAAAATAAAAAATAAAAAAGTGAAACAAATCAAAATAAGAGTAGGAACATAGCCAAGGTCCAGCAGTCTCTAGTCACTCTAGGCCTACTGAATCAGAAGCTCTGGGTTTGAGTTTAACCCTTTGTATTTTAATAAGTCCTCCGGAGGGGTGATTTCATGCACACTGAAGCTGAAGAACTATTACTCCAAAAGCAAAGGGGGTGTCTGATAAATAGTTTGGACAAAATTAGGTATCTCAGTAAGTCTATATTATTGACAAAGAAGCATGTCTAAGATATTCTGTGTAATAAAACTATAGGTAAAAGGTAATTTAAAAAATTGTTAGAAGTGTTTTTCCACATGGAAATGTCTAGTAGGTTATGCAATAAACTGTTGAAGTGGTTAACTTAGGGGAAATTAATTTTCCTTTATGGATATCTGTGTTTTTAATCTATAAGTATACACTATTTTTAAATTTTTTAAAAAATGTTTAAGCACCCTTCACTCCTCTCTGGCAACATTTGCAGGTAAAAATTAACTCAGTCCCAGGAGACTTCAGTGTCTGGACTAATCAAGCTCTGTGCTGCTTTAGGGAGTTCCAGAGGAAGTGGGGTAGAGATAGTGCTCAGTGCTCCATGACTCAATCAGTGCTTCTAGGGAAAGCTGCTGTACCAGGAAATGACAGGTCAGAAAGCCTGAGAGATTCTGCCTCAGTTAAACAGGACAACTTCTAAAAAGGGATGGAGGGAAAACAGAACAGACTTAAAACCTAAGGGCTTGCTTAGAAGACACCAATTTATTGCTGGGAAATTGTCCTTGTTGCAGAAATTCTGTATTCAAGTACCACTTTTCACCACCACCCCATGTTGTGATGCGGCAGTCATTCTATCATTATATCATGCTGCGGACTAGTCCTTCTTCAAGCTGGCTCCAGGTAGAGAGAACATATGCATATGACAGACTAAAAGGGGGCTTAAAAATAAAACATGGAAAATAATCCATGGCAAGATAAAATAAAAGAGAGGTGAGTGTGTATAAACATATCCAAGATCAAGGGAGGTCCTAACAAATATCCTTCAGCTTATGGTGCATCATGGGAAAATCCTGAGGCTTCTACGGTTGCTCTCAAGGGACCACTCAATTCTTTCACCTCTGGCAAGTTTCCCATCAGAAGTATTATGCATATTCATAGAGGATCCCAAAGCACTTTACCTGTATTCATCATCATGTACAGAAGCCACTCAAGTGTAATTGTACATATCCTCTCCATCTCACTGCCTAAAAGCATGTGGATGTGGCAGAAACAAAACATACAGTAGAGCTGTTGTCCCAGAAACCAGAGCAACTTGGTAAAAAAAAAAAAAAAAAAAAAAAAAAAAAACAGCTTCCAGTGGTCTTGAATAATTAATTGATTCATCTTCACTAAAGGAAAACTACTTATACCAGAGATCTTTTTGCAATGAGCTAAGAAAATTGAAATTTGTTGCCCCTGGAACTCTAACCACACCAGAAGACAAAAAATTACCAATGTCCCAATACTTTCAATGCTGTATGAAGAGAAAATTGTCCTGTGATTGGTGACTGCGGCCCACTTTTGAAGAGTGTGTCATTTTCTATGAGTCTGCTTCATACAGTATTTGAGAGAAGGAAAACAGAGGCACAACGTGAACATATGGTAGCAAGGAGATGGAGACTTGGTCTGCAGCATAACATAAAAGATAAAGCACAGGCCTGGAGTCAGAGTTTGAATCCAGCTCTAAATTATACTAGATTTGGGCAAATGACCCCACCTCTCTGATCCTCAGTGTCCTTTTCAATAATATGGGAATAATAAACTACTTTATAGAGTTGCTAAAGTGATCACAAGTATGAAAGAAGGAAGATGGAATAATGAGGTAGCGTTTAAGGGGTACATTTTAAAGTTCTGGAGGTGGACAGTAATCATAGTCACACAACAGTGTGAATGCACTTAATGCCACTGAACTGTACACACAAAAACAGTTAAAAGGGTAAATTTCATTATGTATATTTTACCATTGTTTTTTTTTTAAAATATGTAAGCCACAGTGCCTGGCTCTCAGTTTGTGTTCAAGAAATGCTAGTCTTATTCCACTTATAAAGAACTTTAAATGAAAGGAGAAAAGGAGATATGAAAAGTCAAACAATCATGCTCCTTTCCCAATTTAACTGTGAGCGGCTCTGACTCTCAGGCTGAGCCAGCTGGCACCCCTGCCAGGTAGTGCCACAGTGAGTGTCAGGGTAGGAGAAGAGAGGCTGTGTTAGTCATAACCCCTCCAGCATGTTCAGTTCCCAGTCCACCCCCACCCGAGTATGGCAACTCCCAGAATATCAGTCCCACAGCCCCAGCATCTTGCAAAGAAAGCTGGGAAATTTAAACCATTTCCCAGACCAGACTCCAGGTCATGAGGACAAAAGCATTCGCAATAACAGCTGGCTCCTGTAAGTTGGGGAGAGACAAAATGCTAATGCTGAACACCAACTGGATGGGTCTGGAGCCTGTTCCAGTCCCCAGCATTAAGCTGATCAGTATCTCAGATGCTTTTGGCCGAGTTTAATGGACACAGAAAACAATAGTCTCAAAGACTTAGTAAAGGAAAATTAAAAATGCACTTGTCTGCAGTTCAAAGAAAACAGTTAATTGATTATGTATTGTTCTAGTAAGCCAGAAAGTACAGAAAGGGAAAATAGATGACTTATCTCTAAGCATATTAGCACACTTATTTTGATGGGCAGACTTAATTAGATCTTGATGTAGTCTTCTTTTTTTCTCTCTCAAATATATTTTTATTGATTTCAGAGAGAAAGGAAGAGGGAGAGAGAGATAGAAACATCAATGATGAGAGACAATCATTGACCAGCTGCCTCCTGCATGGGAATCGAATTTATTATACAACACAGATATGTGCCCAACTGGGTTCATAAATCCATGCTCAACTCCTGAACCATGCCAGCTGGGCTTGATGCAGTGTTCTGATATATGATTGTTAACATCCCTCCAACTTAATTCAAAGAGAATGAAATACAGGTTTCCCTGTTCCTATGAAACTTTAAAAATATATATATATATATTATTGATTTTTTTTACAGAGAGGAAGATAGAGTCAGAAACATCGATGGGAGAGAAACATCAATCAGCTGCCTCCTGCACACTTCCCACTGAGGATGTGCCCGCAACCAAGGTACAAGCCCTTGACTAGAATTGAACCTGGGACCTTTCAGTCTGCAGGCCAATGCTCTATCCACTGAGCCTAACTAGTCAGGGCGCTATGAAACTTTTGTAAGCTGAAATGGCGTAACACAAAGATACATTTACCATTCATTTATATGGAAAATATTCTTAGTGTTTCCAGAACCCCAAAAATCACGTACCAAATCACACTAAATATGCTTATTTACCAGTTTTACGCTAAGTGAAACACCCTTAGGAGCTCTCTGAGGCTTTTCTGATATCTTAGGACACATCTTGCTAACAGATGCACAAAATAAATGGAGATAAAACACAGAGGCTCACAGACACAGTCAAAGCTATAGCGGTGGGTACTGGGATGCTGAGTGTAACTCTTCAGGAAGGAGCTTGGCAGGGCCACTTGTTCCTTGGGGTTGTGCTGCCTCTAACAGCTCCTTGCAAAACAGAGGCTGAAGGCTATTTTCACTTTTCTTCATAAAAGTGATAAAAGCGAAAATTCGCTCCAGATTTCTTTCAGTTAGTGAAAACAGGTACTAAGGCAGGTCTTTCATAAAAAGCAAAGTAGGGTAAAGTGAACTTCCAAAAAGTGGAATATCCCCGTACTTGGCGTATTAATAGTCAATAAATTCAAAAACATACTTACTTTAGGGTCTGAGCTCTTGAACTTTAACCTTTCCACCAATTCTATCATAGCCGCTTTTAATCCGCCAGAGTCTTTGCTCTAGAAAAAAGAAAAGTGGGGTCATTAGACAGCATTTTGTTGTGCTCTCAAACACCATCAGCATTTCATGGGACAATGAAATGGAAAGCAATTTTTTTTCTCAGCCAAGAAAATGAAACAACTAAGGGGAGCTGTGTTGTCCCTCTTCCTCTTCTCTAAGGATAAAGAGGGCCGGGACACACATTGCCCAGTGACCTGGAATGAAAATTAAATGCAATGTGTACAGGCTGACTCGCTGCTTCATCTCAGTGCTCAGCTGTGCCGGTGCTCACTTAGGGCTGGGCTCTGCAAAAGAGATTTCCTTCTGAGATGTCTATTTAATGACCTAGTGATTTTTATTTTAAACTTCTACACACTAAATACTGAAGTATGTAATATAAAACATTCTTAGAAAAACAAACTCAAAGAAAATGCCCCGAAATATCATTGGCAATGGTATTACAGTGTGCTAGTTGAGTACAGGTATTTTCAGTCAGACATCAATGGTTTCACATTTGGGGTCTGCCATTAACTAGTTGACTAACCTCTGGCAAATTATTGACCTTCCCAAAACCTTCTCCTTCCATAAAATGGGGATAATGAATAGACCTATTTGGAGGCTTAATTGACACAGTGTTTGTAAAGGTATTAACACAGTATGTGGCACACAGTAAGTGCTCAATAAATGTCACTTACTACTACCGTTATTCCAATAAAAATGTAATGTAAGCCACAAATACAAGCCATGCATGTAATTTTAAGTTTTCTAGTAGCCACAAAAATAAAGTGAAATTAAGTTTAATATATTTAACTTAACTCAGTATATACAAAATATCATCATTGCAACATGCAATTTCAACGTGAGGTATTCAAATATTTTTTTTTCATACTAGGTCTTTGAAATCTAGAGTGTACTTCATACCTACAGCCCAATTCAACTTGGACTAGCCATATTCTGAGTGCTCCAAAGCCATATTTGGCTAGTGACTGCTGAATTAGCACAGATTTAGAGCATACTAGTAGAATCTAGAGCCAAAAATTCAAGTCCCAATTCTAGCACTAGTGCATGACCTTAGGCAAGTCACTTAGCCTCTCTCTTATCTGTAACATTAAGTTAAACACAATATCTAGTTCATAAAGGTTCTAGTAAGATTAAATTAGCTAATACTTATCAAGATGCTCAGAACAGACCCTGATACATGGTAAATGCAATAGATGTATGAGACTTTAAATTATTGTCTGTCTCCCTCACAATTTTTAAATTCCTGAAGGGTAAGCACCACATTTTTTTATCTCTGTATCTGTGCCCAGCATCAAGAAGGTATTTAAAAATGTCTGCTGAATAAAAGAATGAACATACAAACTTAAGACATTCATGTCCCAATAATAATACATGTATACAGCACAATCTAAAACCACATGAATTAGTTTTATTTTCTAATCTCAACTCCTCTAAGGGATAGGGTAGAATCATCACCCTCATTTTACTACCCTGTTTCCCCAAAAATAAGACAGTGTCTTATATTAATTTTTTCTCCAAAAGTTGCGCTAGGTCTTATTTTCAGGGGATGTCTTATCCTTCCATGCACTAGGTCTTATTTTCGGAGGATGTCTTATTTTCGAGGAAACACGGGTAGTGACAAAAATGAAACGTGAAGAAGTAAAAAGGTTACCATTTTTATGGAGCAGGGGGAACAATAAAGAAGTACAATATAAATAATATAAATATCTGTTCCTTAAAATTGTCCTCTGAATCGGTGATATTTGTCAAATATGCAGAACCAACTCCAATCCCTCCAAAACAGGAAATATGTACTTTGTAGATACCCATCATACAGATTAAAATAGACTACAGGCTAAATCTTTTTTCCCCATTTCCTTTCTCTCCCAAACCTATATAGAAACAATCTGATGTAAGGTGACTAAGGCAGATACCGCTTTAGATGTGCACTCCCACAGCTTAGTGGACATTCCCATTTCAGCCGTGGTCCTAAAATTTAATAATATGATATTTAAAATGATGATTTACAACTCTCCAAATTTCTTCTCCAATTTAAATCTTTAACTTCTGTGGCATCACAGTAGACAACTGGGAAAGGAATCTGGAGGTCACATACCAGAGAGTGGGGGAGACACAAAGAATCTAAAAACGGGTGAAGGGGACAGACACAACCTTGCATTTATGAGATGATCAGACAATAAAGCCCGTCTGGTGATACCATTCCTCTAACCTGTTTCTCATTGGCTGAACAAGCAGGTCACTTGTCCCTGGAAAGCTCTCTTCTCTCACATCCCAGCTGCCAGAGTCCATTTTAAGCTCCTCAGCAAGAACCCTGATATATTATGACTTTCCCCCTGGCTCTAGAGCACAGACAGGAATGTGTGAAACTGTGCCTTAAAAGATTCAGAAAGGAAACAGAACGATGAAGGAATCCCTAAGAAGCAGACAGCCTGTTTGCAGGCAGATGTGCCTTGTGCGGAGAGATAAGGGAACCCTTAGCCTTCTTTCATAAAAATACAGTGTGTCAGCAGAATCCTTTCTCCTTTTAACAAAGCATCAGCAGCACTGCCTGCCCAGGGGACAGAGAGGGGAGGTACAGAGACTCTTCCTTCAGGATATCCACCATTCCACCTCCCCACCCCACTCTCTTTGAAGATTCCTCTCAAAGCTCAATTGGGGTCTATACTGAGCCAGCTATACTCAGTCTCTACCTGGGTGGTGAAAAACCTTTCCCTGTGGCATTTTTTAGCCCATAAAATAAGCAATTGGTCAGAAGGGAGAGGCTCCCCTGGGCAGACCTCTTCCTGACAACTGCAGGGCCGGGCTAGAGTACAAATGGAGGACCCTGGCCCCCCCAGTCCACCATCTTTCTCTTTCCACACCCCAGTCCTTTCCCGAAGTCCTTTCCTTACGAAGCCTTAGACACATTCAAACTAGTACACTTACGTTCTGGGAACATCCCTCTCAAGTAGTTGTCCTTGACCACCCTGACCTTGGCTAGCACATATCAGGGGTGGGTCTAATGGCTTGATCCATCTTTGAGAGGATGAATTTAGAAAGAGGTTCTGCAGGTCCCGGAAGTAGGTTCAATGCAATTCATCAGGTAATTCTTAGATCCTTGGAATTCGGAGAGGGGTCTAGAAGGAGATGAATATGGCCAAAGAAGCGTCCTCTAAAGCATGGGACATAGGGAAGGGCAAAGGATTGTCTAGGTCTAAGGTGCTTTTGAGTAGAGTGCCCCAGGATGTTATCAGGTTTTAGTCAATTATTTGTTTGCAATAAGACAGAAGGGAATGGGAACAGGAGATTTTTCTTATACTTCCCTACCCTGGGGAAATAGAACAGCTGCCTCTGAAACCTGTGCTCAAACTGAGAAGATGACCAGAATAGTAACAAAAGGCAAGCTAATTCTAACCTTGTGCACATTTGGTTCCACAAATGGGCAGATTCTACTCTGTCAATTCTTGGGGCAGGTACTGTGAGAGGCAAAGAAATCCAATCCTCCTGATACTGGTCTTCTTCACCTCCATCCCACACAACGCATTCCAAGAACATGGAATTCAATGTGAGCACATCTTGTTTATGCACCTCTTTCCTCCCCTACAAGAGGGTAGAATAAAAAGAGACAAGTGCTATGTTGTGACACCCTGCCTACTCCTCAAGTCTGATCCATCGGTAGAGATGTGGGATGTGGGATGCTTCACAAAAGCCAGCTCTTAGGGATGAGTCATAACACCAAGAAAAAACAAAAATACATTATGTGTAAAGACATATTCTTTACTCTCTAATGCACTTTCATATGATTTTCTATTGATATTTCACAATAAACCTAAAAAGTATTATATTTTCACTTTATATTTGAGAAAATGGCTGGTAGAAATAAAAAAAAGAAAAAGAAATGCCTGCAGGAACACCCAAACTGCAGACACTCCTTCACTGGCATTTCATAGTAACAATACTTCTTAGTATATTCTCACTTCATAATGGAGGGAAATGGTTCTGTGGAAGGCAAATAATGTTCCCAAAATTATAGAGCTAGTAAACAACAAAACTAGGATTAGAAAGGTCCAAATGAGAAAGAGTAAAAATACAACAGAAGAGCTTGGCATCAAGAACACACAAGAAAATACCTACGGTTTTCCTATAAATAAGAAAAAGACAAATGGGCCCAAAAAAAAATCCCAACAAAGGGTATGAACATTATAGAAATGTCAAATGGCTAATAAACATATGAAAAGATGTTTTAAAAAGCTCAAATTACTTAATCAGCATATGTCTCATCCATTATATTGAAAATAGTTTTGATTTGATAATATCAAATGATGCCGGACTCTGGGGAAACTAGGGACTTTCATATGTTGCTGATATAAAATGATCAAGCTACTTTGAAGTCACATGCCTAGCAAATCCATTTCTCTCTTTTACCGTTTGAGAAATAATGTCACATGTGTCTAGAAGGCATGCACAAAAATATTTATTGCAGCACTGTTTATAATACTGAAAAATTGAAAACATTCTAAGTATCCATCAATAGCAGTTGATTTGCCCTAGCAGACTGGCTCAGTGAATAGAGTGCAGACCTGCAGATCGAAGGGTCCTGGGTTCAAGTCCTGTCAAGGGCATGCACCTTCCTAGACCGGAAGTTGCTGGCTTCTCCCTGACCCAGGCCCTGGCTGGGGCTCCTGCAAGAAGCAACTAATCCATGTGTTTTTCTCACATTGATATTTCTGTCTTTCCCTCTCTCTAAAAATCAATGAAAATATATCCTTGGGTGAGGATAATAGATAAAAAATAGGGGGTGGCTACATAAATTACAGAATTAACCAACTATAAAATATGATACAGCAAATCAAAATTAAGTAATCTCTATGTATCTGAATATGAGACAAGACATAATGTTGAATTAAACTTGCAAAATGCTATGTTCATTTTTTATAAAAACACAAAACTCTTATTTTCTATGGGTGAAGTATATATGTATGTAAAAAAATTAAAAGAGCAATGATTTGAGGGAATGGTA